CAATTTTCATTCAGTGCTTGGAAGACCTCTCTCTATGCTCTTCTTGCTTTTAATGTTTCTGTTGAGAAGTCTGCTGTGATTTTGATGGGTTTGCCTTTGTATGTTATTTGTTTTTTCTCTCTTACAGCCTTCAATATTCTTTTTCTAGTCTCTTTACTTGTTGTTTTAATGATAATATGTCGTGGGGTAGTTCTGTTTTGGTCAGGTCTGTTTGGTGTTCTGGAGGCTTCCTGTACCTGAATGGGCATAGTTTTCTCTAGATTTGGGGAATTTTCTGTTATTATTTTGTTGAATATATTACACATTCCTTTAGCCTGCACCTCTTTTCCTTCTTCAATGCCCATGATTCTCAGGTTTGGTCTTTTGATGGAGTCAGTGAGTTCTTGCATTTTCTTTTCACAAGTATTGAGTTGTTTAACTAATAGTTCTTCAGTTTTTCCTTTAATTGCCATTTCATCTTCAAGTTCTGAGATTCCAACTTCTGTTTGTTCTATTCTGCTGGAATGGTCTTCCATTTTGTTTTGTATATCTGTTTCATTCTTTTTTCTGAGGTTTTCCATATTGTGGGTTACTTCCTCTTTAATATTTTCAATTTTTGCCCTTAATTCATTTATCTCTCTGTTTATGGTGGTCTCAGTTTCAGTTTGGTGTTTATTTAGGGTTTCTATGATTTCATTTATTTGTTTCTGGGTTATCTCATATTCTTTGTTTTTGTTGTCTTGGAACTTCTTGAGTGCTTCCTGTACATTTTGGTTGACCATGTCTAGTAACATCTGTATGAAATTCTCATTGATTACTTGTAGGATTTCTTCTTTCAAGGTGTTCTTGTGGGCTTCATTGGGTTCCTTGGTATAGTTTATCTTTGTTTTGTTGGAATCTGGTTCAAGGTATCCATTTTCTTCATTTTGCTCTAAGTCCTATACTACTTTATTTTGTGGGGGAGAATGGTTTCCCTCCCTTTTTCTTCTTCTCATATGTCCACTAGGTACCATTTCTATTCCTGGACTATGTGTAATTTAGTATTAGCTGGGTAACAATATTAATATTCAGTCAAGTGTGTCTCCAGCCTCTCAGCAAAGTCTCTGGCTCACAGAGATTAGGAGGTCTGTGGTTGTGTTCTGGTTGCCATCTCAGATCTGACCTGTCAGGTCCATTAGATCATTCAATTTTAGAATTTCTTTGGTGATTTGTTTTGTCTGGATGACCTATCTGTTGGTGTGATTTAGTTCAGAGGAGTGTTAAAGTCTCCCACTACCACTGTGTTGGGGTCTATCTGTGATTTTAAGTCCATTAGTGTAGTTTAATGAAGTTGGGTGCACTGACATTGGGTGCATATTAGTTTATAATTGCTATTTCCTCTTGATGTATTGCTCCTTTTATTAGTATGAAGTGGCCTTCTTTGTCTCTTCTGAGTAATTTAAGAATAATGTCCACTCCATATGATATATATGTTGCTACTCCTGCCTGTTTGGGGGGCCATTAGCTTGGTAAATCTTCTTCTATCCCTTTACCCTAGATGTTTCTTTCTGTCAACTAGGTGAGTTTCTTGTAAACAACAGATTGTCAGGTCTTCTTTTTCAATACAGGTTGCGAAACAGTGTGTTTTGATTATGGAGTTGAGTCCATTAACATTCAGTGTTAATATTGAGAGGTATGTGGTGATTCCTGCATTTAGTTGTGTTTGTTAAGGATTTGAGTGTGTAAAGCCAATTCTATCCTACTCTCTGAGTACTTGTCTGTTTTAATACTTGCATGCTTTCATGGTTATATTTGTTTTCATCTTCTTTGTGTATGATTCTGTTCAGAATCTTCTGTAGTGGTGGTATGGTGGTTATATATTGTTTTAGTTTCTGTTTATCATGGAAGACTTTTATTCCACCATTAATTTTGAATGATAGCTTTGCTGGGTACAGTACCCTAAGGCTAAAATTGTTTTCCTTTAGTGCTTGACATACCTCATTCCATGTCCTTCTTGCTTTTAGGGTTTCTATTGAGAAATCTACTGTTATTTTGATGGGTTTACCTTTATATATTATTTGATTTTTCCGTCTTACAGCCTCAAAATTCTTTCCTTGTTCTCTGTGCTAGTTGTTTTAATGATAATATTAAATAAAAACTCTTAAATATCATGTTGTGATACTATTGGCAGCATTAGCAGGTATTTCTACATTAGTCATAATAATAACAATAGGTATTAATGTTTGAGTCCTTGACACCCAGCATAGCATTTCACAAATGCAATATGAATGAGTTAGGAAAAAAATTTGTAATTTATAGTCTGTTTCTGTCCAAACCCATTTTCTCAAGGTATTTAGACCCTTGATTATCTCTAATCTGCCTTGTATTTTTTATTTTTCATCTCAATTGCCTCCTTCCCATCAGCTTTCCAACAACCTTAAATCTTTTTATTATAGGAAATGAACAATTTCTCAGGACAACATACATAAGATCTTCCTTCACTTAATGTTTCTAGATGCCTGTCATTTATCTCATGTTCTTCATTTTTTATGGTAAAATTTCTAGAACAAAGTATCCATACTGTTTCTCAATTTTGAGGAAATAGGGAAGCATTTACTACCACTGAGAGGCTCCTTCCAGGTCTGCCGCAGCTGCAGTCAGTTGGTATAAGGTTATACCCTTTCCAGGGTGGCCCGTATCTGGTGGCAAGCAGAAGGGAGCTGGGTGTAAAGGCCCTCCATTTTAGCCTGAAGGGAAATAAGTGATGCAGCATTTATTCCAGAGGCCCCACCTTATTGACTGAAGCTTTGTCATGCCTGCATCTCAGTTCAACATTTTCCTTTGCTCAACCCTGCTTCCTCCACTGCCTTTCATGAATATTGATCTCTAATACACATGTTGTACTCCTATATCTATCCCAGTATCTATTTCAAAAGCCCAGCATTTAATTGCAGAATATTTGGTCTTCATTCCTCTAGTGGATTTGAGGTCACAGGGTTGATAAATCTAATAGACATGGTTTAGGTATCAGTCTACTGAACCTGTTATGGCATTTGAAAAAAAAAATAAGAAAAAACTATAGGGCTGGGACGTAGCTCAGTGGTTGAGTATTCATTTATTCTTTTATTATCAAATACATAATTAAGAATTTCAAATACCATGTAAAATATAAGAATTAAAAACAGATAAGACAGAGTCTTTGCTTTCTGAAAGCTCTGATTAATGATGTCTTATTGGACATGAAGAATGAAAGAGCAGAAGCAAAGCAGGTTCCAGGTTTCAAGTTTGGATGATGGGATGATAGAGATGTCACTGAGGTATAATCTAAAGAAAGAAAAATCACTTTAAGGGGGTGAGAGGAAGACTTCACTTTGGAGTTTTATGAGTTAGAGGTTCTTGGGGGATATCATATAGAAGTGACTTTAGAGTAATTGTAGCAGAAACCAAATTGCAGTTAGCTGAAGATGCAATTCAACTTGAGACTATGACAAAGAATACATAGAGATGGAGGATTTCCAAGCTTGGCTGTACATCAAATTCATATTTCAAGTTAATTAAAAATGGATTCTGGCTGGCCACTGTAGATCACCCCTGTAATTTTAGCTACTTGGAAGGCTGAGATGGAGAGAATCATGGTTCAAGGACAGCCTGGGTTTATGAGACACCATTTTCAAAATAACCAGAGCAAAATGGATTGGAGGTGTGGTTCAAGGGTTCAAGCAGTAGAGTGACTGCTTTGCAAATGCGAAGCCCTGAGTACGAACCCCACTCAAAAAAAAAAACCAAAAAATTCTGAAGTTCTTTCCCCAGATCCTGGTTCAGTTGACCCCAGACAGAAGCGTGGACTTGTATTTTAATAAGTTTTCCAGCTGTACTGTGCTCAGTTTTGGTTCTCTGGAAAGTAGACAAGAGAGGGTGAAAATTCTGTTTGTCTTCTGGTGAGCATGGAGAAATACAAGTATGAGAGGAAATGGGGAGAGAATCAGGGAAGGTGGGAGGAGCAATGCAAATCTGTCCCCAGTGAAAGCAGGAAGCAGATAGTTGTGTCACCCTCAAAGTGCTGTGCAAGGTAAGGAAGATCAACTAAGACTTTTAGGGAGTCTTCAAACTAAAGCTGCCACATGAGGAGTTCTATATTTTGCCTTAGTATCCCTGCATGCTCAGTCATTGACTGGAACAGCCTGTGAGAAGCCTAGTCTTGATGCAAACATGGTGATGGATTTCAGAGCACAGCAGCTGAGGTTGTTTGTCCATTACATTCCTCATAGTTGGAGGTCTTTGGGGTATGTTCTGTTACACATACACGATCATTTTAAGACAATGAGATGAGAAAAATAAGATTGAAATAAGCTGTAGCCGGACAGATATTTGGGTTCAAGGAAGGATTTCACATTTTTTTGAGGTTTTTTTTTTTTTCCAGATAGGAAAGATTTTATTATCTTTGTAAGGCTACAGAGGGGAATACTAACAGTGGGAGAAGTTAAATGTAAAGAGGGAGAGAGGAAGGGAAGGAGAGATTATGGGAAGGGGAGACAGAGATACACAGAGAGACAGAGACACAGAAAGAATGGGAAAGAATAAATTATGGAAGGAGAAGATCCTAGAGAAAGTAGAAAAAAGTGGGATCAAAGTTTGTGGCTTTGAATTTGAATTTGAGGCATGATATCTTATTCTCTGAAATAGTGTCTGGCATGTATTAAGGATGAAGGCTGCAGATTGTAAGGAGTTGAAATGTGCAAAGGGGAGGGGCAGTGGTATGAGATTTTGGTCTTGAGAATGCAGTAAAGCAAAAGTTAGAAAGGGTACAAAAAAGACTTCTGTATCTGTGGGATCAAGTTAAGGGGAGAAAAGCTGATGACTTCAATGCTTTGATGAAACAGAAGGCAAGGCTGTCTGCTAAAGAGTTTTTTTTTTATTTATAGCTCTTCACACATGACAAAATTTCACACAAAGAACAACAGAAATCATATTTAGTAAATTAAAAATAATACCTAAAATATATCTTTCATATTAAAATAATTGTTATATAAATCATTCATTGATGTTTACCCATCTCTTTCATTGGTATATAAATAAAAATTTGAAATGTTCTCTTAATCTAATTTGGAATTTTAAAAACTGACATTGCAGTCAATTTACATACTCTCAATCAGGAAAAAATTACTGAAAATGTGTTGTCAATGTATTATGTAAACTTGCTACCAAATTGGGCAACCAACAGCCACTTTCGAGCCATATACTTTTACCTCATCTTAAAAGAAAATTCATTACAAGGACACACACTGGCTAACGCTCTCAAAAAGTAGATAGCAAAGTACTTTTTAATTAGAGGTAATCTTTGAGATAAGTAGTTTCTTATCTGGGTACCCAAACTCCCATTGTCTACACATTGAATATTAGAAGTTGATGCTGTTTTCAAAATTCAAAGCACCTAATGGAAATCCCACTTTACCACTTTGAAGGCTTTGAGTTATTTTATAATTTTCAATTAAAAAAATTCAGTGGGGTCACTTTACAGAAACTCCAAGGGGTCTTTTCAATATTAAAACATGGATAATGCATGAATCATTATTTAGTCAATGAGTTTTCAAAAATAGACAAAAGCTTCTGAAACATGGATCTGGGATGGGAGGAGAATTATAAAATCTGGAGGTGGTTGGTAGTGAAAAAATGTTGGAAAAACTAGCTTAGTCTAATCCTATAATTTACAGATAAGGATACTAAAAGGATAAGTGATACATCCAATGTCACATCATGGTTTAATGGTAGTAGGTTTGTTATTTTCATATTTTAGAAGTTGTGAAAAATATTACCTAACATGTCACATAATATGTTGTTGGGTTTTGGCCAGTGCTTTGTAATTTGGAGGGGTTGCTTGGGGAACTCCAGTCCAAACACTAGTACTTAATAATTTGTGGTCCTTCTGCTGGCAAACTTTCTAGTAAAGTGGTTAAAAATATTTTTTAAACATGTACAGAGGTAATTGAAAACAAAAACGAAAGCCTTTAAAAGAATCTTCATAATAAAGAGTACCATAATAAGCTAGTGAGTTTTAAGGTCCATTCTTCCCTTCTTCATAATTGGAGGGTAGTCCTCATCCATGTTTACTCTAGTTACAATGATACTTTGTTTAAACAGAGTACAGAATTAGAATCAGCAAAAATAAAATAACATTCTTATCAAATAATTAACATATTCACAATTAACAAATAAGGACAAACTTTATACAAAAATTCTGCTACTGGAATAAGTTAAAAAAAGATTAACCCACCATCAGGAGGTAAGACAGACACATCTGCCTTTTTAAAGAGAGATAATTAGAATAGACAATATAAGGTACTTTCACAAGTAGAGGTACAAACTATAGTTTTCCTTGTTGTGGAATGTTTCAAAATTTCCTTTCTAATATTCTTTTTTCTTCTTCCTATTTCTTTTTAGAAAATAGAAAATAGAAAAAATATTCTTTTTTCTTTCTTCTTTTTTTTGGTGGGGAGGAATGTATGGGAGATTGTTTATTGATGATCTAAAAGAAGTGCCTTTATAATCATAGCCAAAACAGAAATAATTCTTACGTTAAACAAATAAAATCTTTTGAGATATTGATTAAGCAGAGATATTATTTTTGAAGTTTAAAATTTCAAAACTTATAATCAGAATTTCATAACAAATACTAACAAATCATTTTGTACATTCATTTTTCTGATACCCAATAACATATGCCAACTAAAACTCATACTTCGTGTTGGCAACTAATGAACACAACAGAATCAATAGAGCTGAATGCTAGTCGTTGTCATAGATGCAACCTGAAAGAAAAAAAATACAAACTTAAACATAGTTATATAAAACATACTCTCTTTGTGTTCCAAGGCTGGAATTGTGGGAAATACATACTTTCCTGATTTGAAAAGCTCCCCCTAGATGAAAGGCCATGCAGTTAATTGTCATTGTTTAACCCAGTTCCAACAACATTTCTTGACAGATTTATTCTCCATCAAAGTGAAACCCAAGGTTATTTTATCTGGCACTTAAGTTACTTTTTGGTAGTTATTCTGAATAAGGATGATTTAAATATCAGCAAGTACCATAAACATAAAAGACTAAAGGTAAGATGATGGCATCATCTTCCATTTTGATTGAGATTAATGCCTTCAATCATAATTTAGAAACATATTATGCATATATTATTATGCTAGTATTGTGATTATGAGATAGGTACCTATTTATTGGCCAAGAATGCATAATTATTTGGATAAAAGAAATTCTTAAGATTCATGGTGCAATAAAAAATTAACCAAATAGTTTTATATTTCTCTTTTCAAAGAAAATAAAGGTTTTTTTCCTAATTTACAGTTCTGAGTGAAAATGATTTTTCCCCCAGGATACCAGAGAATATACTTTTCCTAACATTTTCAAGTGACTTGAATTTTTATCAGATTGGATATTCTAATCCAATATGCTATTTTCAGAATTTGTATAAACAGTGCATTCATTGTTGCCTGTGGTAGATGCTGTATGAGACTTACCATCAGCAATATCATCATAGATCTCTCCATCACTGTAAATATAAAACATAAATTTTATTTTATGGAGAATATCTCCCCAACATTGAAGCAATATGTAGAAGAAAGAGGCAAGAATGTGATTGTTATAGAACACAGGCTTTTAAAGGCAAGAAATTTATAGGTGGAAAGAAATTTCATATCCATCTCCACCTTTTCTTTCATTGACTTTGTCTAATCCTGTTCAATCCACAGAGTAACTGAAACATGACTCAAGAGCACAGACTGTGTCATGCTCAGCATTAGCTGAGTGGGCGTGGCACAGAGTTGTGCTCCTTAGGAACTGTGTGTTGAACTGAACAAACTGAATAGTCACTTTCTGTGGATCTTAATCACTGTCAAGGATTTTTATATCTATTAATATTAGATTCATACCTTTATTTGAATTTCAAATGTTGAATGAAAGGGAATATTTGCCATAGGAAATGGCTAAACATTTTTACATGTTTCTGATTATACCTTATACATATCAACTTTAAAATACATAAATATCAGCTGTAGTTTATGTAGCCAACATACAGTTATTATGGAGATTCTTTTGATATATAATTACAAATATTATTTATGATTATAGGCAGCATCCACAATAGTAGTTTTGGCTATTTTTACATACTTCAGGTTTTGCCTGGTCCTGACTCTTTGTGAAATATTCTATTCAACAAATATATTGAGTCCCTGCTCTGTACCAGGAGACAACTTTGAATAAGGCATGAGCTTTTATTCTAAGATGTTTATAACCTAATGAGAGCGTGATCCATAAATAACAAAAACAGAAGGTATTATAAATATAGACATAGTCTTGAAATGTAGGATACAGTTCCAAATTTCAGAACTGTGTGGTGGCTTTGTCACTTAGATCAGATTCCTTCTCGGTTCCGGTCCTATCTCTGTGCTTTATCATAAAGCAGCAGCAGGCCCTTCAAATTCTTGCCAAGTATGGCAGATGCTGTGAGTTCCCTAAGTCTTCTGTTTGGATCCTTTTTCTAAGATCAAGGGAGAGTTTGGATAGCAGAAATTTGATGCAAATGCAAATAGGAAAGATTTTCCTGAAATTCATTTAATAAAAGTTTAAGCATTTACTTTATTTATTTAATTTTTAATGGTACTGGGGTTTGAACTCTGGGTATCTCTCTTGCTAGGCAGGTGCTCTACCACTTGAGCCATAACCTCAGTGCTTAGATATCCACTGTAATAGGTGGTGAATCACTAATTACTTGGACAATGTACTTCCTATATTCTTTTTCAATCATCCTGTAATAATCACTGCTGAAGATGTTGTCCTATTTGCTACACATTTTTTCCATAAAATTTGTATCTTCCATAGAGCAAAACCTATTGAAAAGACCTAGGCCTTACCTCTGTGATAATGCTCTGAGGGAAAACAAAAATGTTATGATTACTTTTCTTTTGACTGTCTACTAATTTTCTGACACAGCTCTTAGGATCAATTTGTCTCTTTCTGAATGGTGTCAGGTTGTTTATGGGTAAACAGTTTGTAAATCCTCCTTTATTTTTTCATTATGCTGAATTCCATAAATCTTCGTATTGCTGTAGGACCTAATCTGATAATGGAGTTTATTTCTTACACTGAGTTTCTTGAAGTAGATTTGTAAAGCATTTTGGAAAACACCAATGGCACAGGAGTACCAGACTGTGACAACATCTTATTCATAAGAATAGAAGAATCATTGACTGCTATCTCTTTTATGGCATGCTTCCAATAAAGGAAATATAATAGTCTACTGTGCCTGGTAAAAGTATAGAAAAATCTTCAATTAGAGGATAAACTGTAAAGTGATTTTAGTAACTACTGTGTTGACACTATTTGGTCCTTAATTAATACAATTCTGGTAGTAGATTAATCAGTAAGTAAAATGCAAAATATTAATGAAAAGGTTAGCAGCCTATTTTCAGTGTTTGCTGAGTGTATAAAACTATGACCATGACTTGTATAATCATGGATGAAAAGGGCTTTTGACTGGGCACTGGGGGATCATGCTTGTAACCCTAGCTACTCAGGAATCAGAGGTCAGAAGCATTGTGGTTCCAAGCCAGAAAGAGTTTGAGAGACCCTATCTTAAAAACACCCAATATAAAACAGGGTGGTGGAGTGGCTCATGTGGTAGAGTGCATACCTAGTCAATCATGAGGTCCTGAGTTCAAACCCTAGTACTGCCAAAAAAAAAAAGAATAAGATTAGCTTCTTGCCTATTTAAGAGAGGCACTTTATGAAAACGTTGACTTTATTATTGATACTATGTAAGTATAAAATATTGTTTTCAATTTATTTATGACAATCCAGTTGGTTACATTATTTAAACACTACTAGAAAATGTTCTTTAAAAAACACAGTATTCTTTTAACAAATACAGGAGTAGAAGAAAATGGGCTTACTTGTCCATGAGATAACTCCGAAGGACATAGCCATCTATGAAAGAAAAAGGAAATACATTTTATTTACAGATATAGGTTTGAAAAATCTTTAATATTTATTTAAAGAAATTGACATATAAGTAATTATTAGAATATTTGTGTCTACTTCTGAATATGACCAACTTGTATCCACTTTTGTTTCCTTTCTTTCTTATACTTTTCTCCCTGTTTCTCTCTTCACCTCAATTTACAGCTTCCTTTCTCCTATAAATAAAAAAACTACTGCTGTGTATGTTGGTGCACACTGTAATCCCAACACACAGGAGGCAGAAGGATCTTGAATTGCAAGCCAGTTTGGCATACATAGTGAGAATGTCAAAACAGGACATTTAAAATCTTATTTTTTCTCTATATTATTGCAGGTCAAACCACAGTCCTGCCTTAAATTTTACTCTGTTTTCCCAAGATGTTACTCACATGACCCAGTTTGAGGTCGACTGTAGTAAACACAGATCGCAAGGCAATTTACATGCCAGTATTTTAAGTCACCACATCAGATATTTACTTTTTCAACTTTTATTATGCTGATCAGAGACAGCAATGTGTTCAACCCCACCCCCTGCCCCTTGATCAAAAGCCAAGATCATGGCTTCTTGGGAGAGAATGTGTCATAAATAGTCACAAAATAACTCTTATTTTCAGTATGGGAGAAGTTCCTCACTGAGAGTGTCAGCAATTGAGTGTCATCATTCCTCAAACAAAAGGATTATTAGAATGCATGCCTGAGATTTTGGTGATGCTCTGGGTAAGTGGAAAATAAACCATGTTTTATGAGAGAAAGCTAAGGTTTTTTTTTTCTTCTCTCCACTCCCCTCCCCTCCCCTCCCCTCCTCTGTCTTCTTTCCTTCTCTCCTCCTGTCTTCCCTTCTTCCCTCCCTCTCTCTCTCTCCCTTCCTTCCTTCCTTCCTTCCTTCCTTCCTTCCTTCCTTCCTTCCCTTCTTCTTTCCTTTTCTTAGCACCTTATATTAGCCCCTCATTGTGTAATTTCCTAAGGAAAAGTGTGAATTATTTTCCTTGAGAAAGTCTACTGACATCTAATTAATATTACCAAACTTTGGCACTGCTTTGTGTTAGTATCTAAAATCTGTTGTATGCTTGAAATTAATACTTTTTTATTACTGTCTTGATCTCATTGCTAGTAATTGTTCTGTTTAGTTTTTTTTTTAATCTTTTTTTGGTTCAAATTTGGTAGGTCAATTTGTTTCTACTAGATTTTCCACTTTATTGGAACACAAGTTTTTAAAATATCCCTAATGGTCCTCTGGATTTCAGTGTTATCAGTTGTAGTACCCCCCACCCCTATTATAACCTCTAATTTTGTTAATTTGTGTCTCTCTTTTGGTTAGTTTGGCTAGGACTTGTCAATCTTGCTTATACTTTCAAAGAACCAATTCTTTATTTCTTTGATTCTTTGTATTCTTTTAGCTTCCAGTTCATTAATTTCAGCTTTGATCTTTATTATTTCTTTCCTTCAACTCATTTTGGTTTGACTTGTTCTTGTTTTCTAAGACCTTGAGGTGCATCATTCAATACAGTTTTGAAATAATCTCTTTCACTGTCAATCTATTGGTCTTGGTCTATTTTGGACATAATTTTGCTTCTGTATCAGAGTAAATGTGATTTAAAATGTGCTAAAAGATTAATGAAAAGGAAGGGCATACACAAATATTCCTACAAGCAATAAACTTATTTAAAAATGTTGCCATTGATTCAACATGAAAACATTTTGTTTTAAAAGAAAGGGTCATAAAGCTGAAGTTATGGGAGGAGGGAGAGGAAAAGAGAATGATAGAGATGGAATGATATTGAAATACATAGCATCTGTGTAGGAAGTAGGCATAAGGAAACACACTGAAAGCTGTTCAATAAGGGGGGGAGAGAAGAGGGATAAGCAAGAGTAATAGAGGGGATTAAAACTGATTAAAGTAAATACATTCCCAGATGAAATACCTCAGTGAAAGCCTTTTGAACAATGAATACACATTTAAGTAATGAAGGTCAGGAGGGTACAACAGGTCTTGTTAGGATGTGGGAGGGGGAGGGGGAGTGAGAGGGTAGAGGAGGGTGACTACAGTTGATATAATTTTTATACTTGTTTGAAAATAGAACAATGAAACTTGTCGAAATCATTTTCAGTAGGGGGAGGGGGATGAGGGACCGTGATAGTGGGAACGAAACTAACCAAGGTATACTGTAAGCATATAGAGAAAGGTTACAAGGAAACCCCTGAATGAATTAATATATGCTAATCAAAGTGTTTTTAAAAGACTGAAATTATTGATTCAAATTCAAGGAAATAACTTTCCCTTCAAGTATTTCCAGGGTAAATGACACGCCATCAAAATATTTTTAGCAAAAAGTTCGGTACTTTGTTAGTGGGGAGGGTGTTTTTTTTTTTTTTGATGTGTATCCCAGGCTGGCTGGAAACTCTAGGTCCTTCTGCCTTGGCCTCCCCGGTGCTGGGATGACAGGCACGCACCACCATGCCGGTCCAACATCCACCACTTTTTAATGAAAATCGTTTTGTAGGTATTATATTCAGAAAAGAAAGAATCAAAGTTATCTTTAAATTTTTGTTTTATGGGAGTAATGGGACGTGTCAAAATGAGAAAACACAATAAAGTAATATTTTTCTTAGATTATAAAATATTAGCCCATGTTATAACTTCTGTTTACTGCAATTAAAGTAAAATCAGCAAAAAACGATTAATGTCAGAATATCTGCATTAGTGTCTGTGATCTCTGGGCAAACTTGATCATCATAGTTCAGTGCATCTTAATATAATATTGTAAACTAAGTTATACATCATAATTTAGCATAATTTTTAAAGGAGGATAAGCTTGTGTCTAACAAATTAAATTCTTTCATCTGTCTCAAAAGAAAAACTGCAAATAACAAGCTTAGAACAAACTGTAGATACTATTTTTTTTTTTTTTGAGACAAGGTCTTGCTATGTTGCCTAGGCTGGCCTTGAACTTCTGGGCTCAGGAATCCTGCAGACTTAGTCTTTTGAGTGTTGGGGGCACAGGCATATGTCACTGGAGCCTGTTCAGATTGTATATATTTTTTTCATGGTTCCAACAACCAAAATTGATCTTTTATATGTATCTATATTTGGTGCTAAAATAAAATTTGAACATTTTTGTAGACGGTAAAAATCACAGACTTTTTTTCCATAATATAAAATGGTTGGTTCTATTTTCATTTTGGATTTTTGCTTAAAATAAACGGGAGCCAGGCGTAGTGGTACATGCTTGTAATCCTAGCACTCAGGAGGCTGAGGCAGGAATATCGTAAATTCGAGGCCAGCCTGGGCTATATACTGAAATGCATTCTCAAACAAACAAAAGCAAGAACATAACAGTAAAACAAATTGGAAAATTAACAATAGTGACTGTCCCCATGATGTGTTTCTATTTATATTAATAATTAAAAATAATGACAAATATGAACTGAAACCTTTAATGGAGTCAATGCTGTGAGATGTTAGGCTACCATAAAGTCTCTTAGAGAAATGTGTAACAAATTCTAAACTGTTGCCAGGCTGGAATCATTCTAGCATCAAGTGTATTTCAGTTAAAATTCAAAATAAAGAAAACAATAATTTTTAGAAATTAAATATTTTTATTTTAGTATGCTTTTAGATAATTTACTTTCTCAAGCTCAAGCACTAAAATGGTCTTTTACATGACCAATGTTAGTAATTCATGATACACAATTTAATTACCTCAACTTCACAAATAAATTGTAAGAATATATTCTCTTAGGTTATCAAATCCCAATTATCTTGCTCCCCTGTATCTTCCCTGTTCAAGAGTTCTAAAGAAAGCTTTCTCTTTTGCTGACAATTCCATTACTCTTTCTGTTCTCTCTCTCTCTCTCTCTCTCTCTCTCTCTCTCACTTTCTGATGCATAAACAGATCAGTGATTGTGAATATTATTTAAGAACTAGATATCAAAGAGATGGAGTGTGGAATGGTGCTGTGCTAATGTGTTTTAGTTCCTTGAGGTGATAATTTAGTGCTCACTAGCTATAAAATCACTTATAAAGTGTTTTTACAGGAATACTAACTTTTAATATAGCATAGCTTTTGCTCTCTTGTACCTTTAAGAATCTCTGTTAAAACTCATTATATTAAAAGTATGATTTATGACTGTCAAAATAGGTGATATATCATGACTTTTTATATAGTGTATCCATTTTAGTTCCTAGAAATAATGGGGTTTTTTTGTAGGAAAATGTTCTCTGTGCTCACATAGAACATGTACATTTATCTTAAGGGATGTTAATAGAAAATGTTAAAAAAATCATGGTTTTTATACCAGGTAGAATGGGTGCCGTGTTTAGTTAGCCCTTTATTATGAGGGCTGATTTACCAGGAATTCTCACATATTATATAAAATCATTATTTGGAAGCCTCACATTCACAAAGGAGAATAAAGTGACTTGAAACAATGTCAGGAAGTATGTAGGGCGACAGCTTATTAGGAAAGTAGCAACCACCCCCCATATGTGCCAGTTAATTTCTTCCCAAAATGTTTGCTTGCTACACTGCAGATGTATTTTAGTACTAACGAATGACTCACCTTTTAGAGAGATATTGTGAGTATAAAGTTACCAATGAAACAGAAAATCTTGGGAAAATATAAATTATCTGCATTCTAATATTTTTAGTGTCTTACTTAATCAAGTGGCAACATATTATTCCTTCATTGTTGCATATGTTGTATGTTCAGAAATAAAGTTTACTCAGTTTGGTCTCATGAAGTTTACAAGCAATAAAATTATATCATATAGGTTTACCCAGGTCAGTGAAATAATGTCCAACTTGAAGGAAAAATGCTCATAACATAATAGAAAGAAGAAAATGTGATATATAATACTGAATATGTTATTATCTTGATTTTACAAAAAATACTCTCCTTTTCTTCTTTTCTCTTCTCTAATTTTTGTGGCTTCACGTCAGATTGATTTTTTAAAAAAATTTAAAATT